ACCATCTCCTGTATTTTCTGTACAGACATGTGCTTTTAACACACAGATCATTCGTGTGTGTGTGTGTGTGTGTGTGTGTGTGTGTGTGTGTGTGTGTGTGTGAGAGAGAGAGAGAGAGAGAGAGAGAGAGAGAGAGAGAGGGAGAGGGAGAGGGAGAGGGAGAGGGAGAGAGGAGAGAGGAGAGATTGTTGTTTACTTTGAGTTCTCATTATTAGAAAAGGTTAGTAGTTTGATTCCCATGCTGCACATCTTTGGGCTTTCAAAGTGCACTTCCTAATGGTTGACTGTCATTAGTGAGATAAGGAAGGATCAGTTCTTTTTTTTTAAGATTTACGTATTTTTACTTTTGTGTATATGTGATTTTATATATCTGTATATATCCCCCAAGTATGTGAGTGCCCACAGAGACCAGAAAAAATTATCAGATCCCCTGACCGGGGTCTTTCACTAGAGCAGTCCATGCTTGTGACTCTGCTTCCCACCCCACCCCCCCAGCGGTGAATTAACCCTTCTAAGTCACTGTCTGTCAGGCACTCTCTGCTGTCTCCCAGGGTGTACAGGTGGACTTGCTACAGGTTCCTTAATAGTAATAATTTTAAGACCTTGTGTTTGGGGCTGGAGAGATCAGAGGACCCAAGTTCCATTTCCAGCACCCATGTAGTGGCTAACAGCTCTCTGTGACTCCATTCCCAGGGGATCTGACACCCTCTTCTGCCTAAAGGCCACTCATCAAATTAATTTGTGATGCACAGACATACATGCAGACAAAATACCCATTCATATAAAGTGAAAATAAACATCTCCCCCCAAAATTAACCCCCTGACTTTAATCAGCTAGAAGGAGATGGGTGCTTTTTTTAATTCCAGGATTATTAAAAGTCAGAATTTTCACAAGCTTAATAGATGGAGCAGGAATGTCTGAAGATCTCCGGGAAGGGCACTCCAGCTAAGAAGGGCTCTCACCATTGTTTTCCAAGACTGAAAATCTGAGCCTGCTTGGACACTTCTTTTTTCGTTTTCATCAATGGCTGCTACCCAGCAAGCCCCACCTCCTCGGCTGTTACCTTGAATTAGAGGCTAAAAATCCCATCCCCGATCTGTTTTGACTGGAAGCCTGAAACTGTTTACAGAGGCGCAGTCGGCCTGTGTTCCTGACTTGCATTTTAATAAACCACCTGACAAGACCACAGGATGGAAGTCAGGACTGCTGGGTATGGGGAGGAAGACAGCCTTGCTTCTGCTCTTCGCCCAGTGGCCACACTGTACACACAGGACTCTGGCTTGTAGTAGTGGTTGTCCCCCAATGTGGGCTCCAGTAAAAGGAGGCTAAGGTCGTCAATTAATTCCCTGTGCCTCTGACAAAAAGGAAATCTAGATTTCAGTAGTGATTCTCTCACTGCCGCTGTAACCCAACATGCTGGGTTCACCCCCCTGCAGCCTGAAGACTTTCCTGCAGGCCGCATCTCTATGGAAATGCATGGCCTCTTCATTGATGGGCTGTCTGTCTCCAGACGGACATCTTCATTTCAGGCACCAGCCTTCAGAAATCTGACAGGCCTTTGCATTTTCTTTTATTAAGTATTGTTTTTAAGAAATTGTTGCTGCTTGGAGGGTCTTACTGACTGAGGCCAGGATGGGTTTCGCATCCTGGGTTGTGTAAGTAGTGATGACTGGCCAAGCTTGTAGCCTTGGGTGGTTGCTTTCTCGTTCTTTATACTTGGTCACATTGTATTGTCCTGACTTTGCCCTGGCTGCTAATGACACCATCAAATCTCTCTGCTGTCTAAATTGGTCAGAGTTTTGTCTTCATGGGGAAAAAAAAAAAAGGCCCATGTTTGGAGTAATGCTATTTTGAAAGTCACGACACCAGGAGCTTTTCCATTCGTTGGAGAAAAATATTCATAGTTTGTCCATCACTTTCAATTCAGCTGTGATCCCTGGAGGGCTGGGAAATGAGAGTGAGTGTTTACTTTTCCACACTGCTCAGAGTGTGCTTACACTGTTGTGTGGTAGGTCAGGTAGGAGAGGGAAGAGGGTTAGGGAAGAGGGGGTGGCCCTTTCTTGGGGACACCTGTGCTGTGTGGTGTGCAGATGGCTGCCTGTTCTCCCAGAAGTCTCTGTTCATGTTCTATGGTGAGGTGTGATTACATGAGGTTTGGGGTCCTTGGGTAGAACATTATAGAATCTACCAGATGTGATGTTACATTTAATAATCGAAGGCTCAACTGAGTGTGCATTTGTTCAGTTAAACCATAGCAATTGTGTCATTGTGTCGGGATTTATGACCATTAATGCCTCAAACTCAAGTTGGGATGCCCATTTTTAAATTTTTATGTTTTTACCTGTATATTGATCTCTTTATGGTGATGCTGGGGATATAATTATATCTGTTCTTTTTTTAATTAGCAATGCCTTTTGCTACTTATGAGTAAACAATCCTTAATTAAATGTGGTGGTATTATTAACTTCCTTTTTTCATCTGAATACCAAATCAGAGTATGAGATTCTCTTGTTTGCTTTTTTATTTTGAGATAGTGTTTGCTGTGCAGCCCAGACAGGCCTCAACCTCATAATGTAGCTTAGGCTGTCCCAAATATTAAGACCTTCCCATCTCAGTCTCCTGTGTGCCAGGATTACGCACATGGGTCATCATTACAGGCTGTGAAATGCTTTTACTTTGTATTTATAGATTCAAATCCATCTATTAACTTGATAATTTTAGACTTGGGATTCCTGAAGGGCTCGTGACTGAAATTGTGTCTAAGTCTCTCAGATTTCTTTAGAAAGAAGTAGAAATGTGGCTGGGGAGACGGTTCAGTTGGTAAAGTGCTTGCCACATAAGCATTAGGACCCAAGTTCAAATCCTCAGCACTGGTGTAAAAAGCCTGGTGAGAGGGTGTGCCCCTGTAATCTCACTGCCAGGGAAGCAGGGATAGGGGTATCCTTGGGACTTGCTGGTCAGGCAGTCTAACTGAATAATCAAGCCCAGTTTCTGCAAGAAGAGACCCTGTCTTAAAAAAATGAGTGATACAGGAAGACACTAGACATTGGCTTCTGGCTTCCACATGTATGCACATGAACCCAACACACACACACACACACACACACACACACACACACACACACACACACACACCACTCATCCACAAGCATACAATAGAAATGTAAATGGATTTTTCTTTGGGCTGCCAGCTCACAAAAAAAAAAAAAAAAAAAAAAAAGCTCAGCCTTAGCTTAGGCTTGTTTCTAACTAGCTCTTATAACTTAAATTAGCCCACATTTTTTTTTTTTTTTTTTGGTTTTTCGAGACAGGGTTTCTCTGTGTAGCTTTGCGCCTTTCCTGGGACTCACTTGGTAGTCCAGGCTGGCCTCGAACCCACAGAGATCCACCTGGCTCTGCCTCCCGAGTGCTGGGATTAAAGGCGTGCACCACCACCGCCCGGCAGCCCACATTTTTTAAATCTACATTCCTCCACATGCTCGTTTGTTAGCTCATCTCCATTTTGCCCATCCTGGTTATTCTGGGTCTGGCTGGCAACTCTGCCTTTCTTCTTCCCAGAGCTCTCGCTGTCCAGAAGTCCTGCCTGTACCTCCTGCCTTGCTATTGGCCAGTTAGCTTTTTATTAAACCAACCACAGTGACAGATCTTCACACAGTGTAAAGGTATATTCCACAATATAAAAATAAAGAAAAATTAATAGAATCTATCTACCTTGAGTTGCCAAGTGGAAAAAAACCACACACACACACACACACACACACACACAAATGGCCTAGTCACAAACACTGGGTCTTTTATACACATTTGCATAATACATTAGCTTCATAAAGAGGAGAGAAACATTTGACAAGCACAATTTCTTGGGTGTTACTGTAGCTAGTTTTCAGAAATATTGTATTAAGAGGTAGGCTAGGGAAACTGTAACTACATTAGAAAGTTGTAAATACTAGAATAAAACATTTTAAGGAATAGACTCATTGTACTCAATCATATACCATAAGAAAACATGTTACAGCTTCTTAGCTTGAAACACAAACTTTCTTAGCGATAGACAGCTATCTTTCTTAGAGGTGAGTCCATACCATTTTCGAAGCAGTTTGATAATGAAATTTTCTAACTCCATCATTTCTGTGATCTTTCTGCCTCCACAGGTTGGACCAAAGATGAGTCAAAAATCACACCTGTTTTTGAACTTAATGTACCTAAGTTATTTCCTGTTGACAGGAATCTGGTGAAAATGTCATTCTTGCCATTGCCAAATCTCCATCCTAGAGGAGAACTTGGGCTGCCCTCTTTCCCAGTTTGTTCCATGATGGGTATTGATACTGAGATCCGTTTTCTCTTTTCTGGCTGTCGACAAGTCTAGGTTCCTTGTACAACCTTCTGTCTTGTACAGCCTCAGGGCCTTACCAGCCCATTGAGAACTAGTTGATATTTGCCTCTGTGCATGTAACTTTACAGAAGTTAAAGTATAGACATGAAGTAAACACAAACTGTCCGAATTTAATGTAAGAGCCCTAAAAGGAAAAAATTCAATTTCCAATTGATTTTATTTGTTCATCCGTACAACTCTGTAGTCATAAACAGCACCAGATTTTTCAAAAGGGGGAAAACTGAAGGTGTGAACATAGAGCTGAAAATTGCTGCTATAGGCACTCTGGACGAGTCATCTCCTGAGGATGGATGAAGACATTCTCCCCAGTCTTCTTAGGCTGAGGTGTGGTGTTTCCCAACGTGTCTGGATTCCAGAGCCTTTTAGATGGAAAAGAGCCTGTTTCTGATCCAGCGTTTCCTCACTGTCTAAGGTTTGCGGGGCAGACAAGGCAGAGCACCTGCTAGAAAGGACCCAAGATACGCATGCATGCTTCTTCCAGATTGTCCCAGATGAGCCACATGTAAAGTAAAGGCTACAAGAGAAAGGGTCTAATGTATGACTTTGCTTTGGCTGACACTTTTCTGCCATTGTGGTAAATTCCTCCCCCTTTTTTTTGTCATTTAGATGAGTATAGAATCAAACCCGTGGAAGAGGTCAAATACATGAAAAACGGGGCAGAAGAGGAACAGAAAATCGCAGCCAGGAACCAAGAAAACCTGGTAAGAACTGAAGTTCTCTGTTAACAATGACTTGTGGGGACTGTTGGACGAAAACCTTCATCGCACATTGAGCTGAGGCTCACACCCCGGGACAAGATTTCTGGAAAACGCTGTAGCTATTCTTAGCTTACCTGGAAGCTGCACCATTACCCTGTATCCTGTTTGTCTCAGAATAGGTCCCTTTTTAATCCTGATAAGAAAGGCTCCAGGGAAAACACAGCAAAATTATTAATGTTTCTAAAAGTCAAGTTGGAGGGAGTTAAAAAAAAAAAAACAAAAAAAACCTGATGTAGGATTGAGATGTACTGGAGGAGGACCTCCCTACCCCCCACCCCCCACCCCGCCTCCTGACGCATATTCAGGTCAGGATGAATAGTAGTGTTTCATTATTCGAAACGTGTAATGAGGAGGCTGCCTTTCAAAGGAAAACCTCATACTTCTAAAATAGGTCTCCATCCAAAGAGCCTGTTCTTCCCGTTCGTGGTTTTAAAGGTATCGCACATTTGAGTTAATGTGAGAATTGTAATAATATGTTAGAGAGCTTCTTGCTCTGTTACAAATTACTGTACACATTCTTCCCCGGAAACCCACCGCTATGAAATATTTAGGCAGTTATCATCTTAATTGATTTTTAAGAGGTTAAAATAGTTAAGAATGTACATTTATTCAGTTGCCTTGGTACCAAATGGGCTTTGTTCATATTTTGCATATATTCTATGTTTAGATTATTTGCCTCTATGATTGAGCGAATGTACTTTTTAGAATTTTGTGTAACGTTAAGTATTTTTGTTTCACTGACATTTTTTTCTAATACATGTTTTGTCCTTTGGTGACTTCCGCCCCAGCAACAGGGATTGACGTCGTACAAGCCACCACCCCATTTCCCGTGGCTCTCATTTCCATCAGACTCTATGGGGTGTTTAGAGGCTTTGTTTGTTTCCTTCATTCTCTTCTAAACACGTGAACAACAGCCCTAAATAGTAAAATGTCAGCAAGTGAATATTTTACATCTTAAGTAGTGAAAATAAAGGACTGTCCGTAGAAGGACATTTGCCTGGGACAGCCTGACCTGGGCTTCCCCTTCTGAACCTTTGAGTAGTGTGCTGGTCTCTTGGGATCCTGAGGAAGCTAGAGACAGAGTTGCCCTCATTGCTCATCCTGCTGAGGCCAGGAACCCACCACCACCAAATCGTTGCAATTTGTTGACTCTTCTGATGCATTCCTCGTCAACTCATCAGAATTGGCAGTAGTGAGTAACCTGTGCAGACCAGACACACCCTTGAAGAGAGAGAGAGACTTCTGGTCAGTCTGGCTGATCGGTGTGGCATGTATGCCAACCCCGCTCCTTTATTTGACCAGATGCTCAGGGTCCATACTGCCAATGACAGTTTTCCAGTGTGCAGACGTTTGCATGGGAATGGGGAGGAGATTCTGAAATGAGTGATTTCCAGCTATCTGTTGGTATGTTATGGCTGTTAGTTTACAAGTCAGTGTCTAGTCTTAGCAGTATATGCTTACCCAGTAGCTCAATAAATGTTTTCGCTCTCCAGTCTTGAGCCTTTTGGCCACAGTTTCCATGGCTGACGAGTCGTGTCCATGCGTCACTAATGTCCTCCAAATTCACAGACATAAATACATCCTGGTTTCTGTCATTGCTTTGCATCCACATAGTCCACTGTGCTTCTCACTATTTAAGGTCGTTTGTAAAGGGAGCCTTCCTTAATGAAGGCAAAGGTAACAGAAGCTGTAAAGAGAGAACTTTCTTTCCTGACAGCAAAGTCAGACAGTTTCGTGAAACAGAACAGCTGCAAGACATAGGTAATAGAGAAGTAAGAGCCTGGGAGAAAACATCTGTGATAATAAACAGTGAGGCTCACATCTGAGATGCATAAAACCGACCTCTAGATAAGAAAGAAAGGGGTAATCTGTTAGAAAAATAGAGAAATGAATAGACCAAGCGGTTCACTGTAAGCCATCTAAGGCCGTCGGCATACAAAAAGTTGTACTCCATCACTCGGACTGTGAACATTTTTTAGAGACACCAGTTCCCTCCCTGTCCCTGAAGGATGCTGTCCCCCACTTCCCCCACGGCATGCTTGCCTGGGTTTCTGGTGGGCTGCTCTCTAAAAACGCTTGTGCTTTTTGTTCATCTGATTTTGTATTTTCCAAGAGCCAGAGGTGTGCCGGTTCTCAAACCGGTTTGTGCTGGTCGAATGTCATTGTAATTATGTAATTTAGTTAAATAATATGCAAGCCACTGAAACACCGGCATGGAGAGAGCTGTTACAGTGAAATTTAAGTGGAATGCTTTGAAATGTCTTGATGAAGGCAGGTTATTAAAAGCTTGCTGTTTAATTGAATTCTGCATTCAGACTCCTTTACAAGGTCTTTACTTGCTCGCTTCACTTAAGAAACCAAGCAGGAGTCACAGCTGTGCTTTGAGGACGTGGTCAGTGAGGGAGGTACAGAGACGTGGTCCTCTCTCACCGATCCTCACAGGAAAGAGAAGCCATGTTCTTGTGACAAAGGATGGTGATCTTGATATTTTAAAATAAAACATGTGTAGTGTTCATACACATTTTACATGCCCCTACTTTGATTCAATGACTTTAATTACCAGTTGGAATGGTGTCACCTAATACGACTTACTATAATTAGGAAAATAGAAATTAAAAGGTGGTCCCATTTTTTTTTTTTTCACTCATGAGATTGGCGAAAAGTTGAAGTTGGGTAATAGACTTTGGCAGGGTTGTAGGAAAATACCTGTTCACATACCAATAGTAAACGCCTCTCTCCGAGGACAGTGTAGTGGTTGGTGTCTGTGAACGTCTAAGCATGCATCTCCATGGCTCAGCACTTCCACGACTTGTATCCAGTGAGCAGCTGCCTGAGTGCATGTGGAAGCTTGCACAAGACGTTCACCACTAGTGCTGTTTATATTGGTTTAAAAAAGTTGAACGAAAAAATTATCTTCCTGTCAGTAAGAGAACAGTAGTTACATCATTCTAAGCAACAATTAAAAAGAATGAGTTGGAACTGTTATGGGAGAAACCATGCCAATTTCAGCACTGATATATGTACTGTGATGCCATTTAAGATTTTTTTTAAATGAACCCCAAACAAGAAAGCCCTGTGTTTTCCTGCAAATATCCATGTATATGCAAAAACTCATAGATATTTCAGAAGGCTGTGATAGATGTGTTCCAGACTAGCAGCACACAAGGTTCAGCTAACTGATTGGCAAAATGGGCATGATCATGGAACTCACTTTAGTGAGAAGTTGTGCAAATTACATAAGATTAGCACAGTTCCTGGCAAAGACCATGCCATAACTGGCTGTTGTTATTTAACTTTTGTTAATGGAGTTGTGTTACTTAGGAGCAGATGAGAAAGAATTAATTATTTGCTCAAGGGAGATTTTTATTATTTAAACTTGGATTGAAAATTCATTTATTCAAAGTGGATAAAATAACAAGTTCCTAGTTTTGACTACTTCAGAATCTTAAGGAGGAGCATGACATTTTCTCGTTGTCTTGTCCTTGTGGGGAGGGCTGGAAGTCAGCTGGAGGGAAACACGAGAATCACTAAGTCTTTTTTTTTTTCCTTTTATTTTATTTTACAATACCATTCAGTTCTACATATCAGCCACGGATTCCCTTGTTCTCCCCCCTCCTGCCCCCCTCCCTTTCCCCCCAGTACAACCCCCCATTTCCACCTCCTCCAGGGCAAAGCCTCCCCCGAGGACTGAGATCGACCTGGTAGACTCAGTCCAGGCAGGTCTAGTCCCCTCCTCCCAGACTGAGCCAAGTGTCCCTGCATAAGCCCCAGGTTTCAAACAGCCAACTCATGCAATGAGCACAGGAGAGAATCATTAAGTCTTATTCTATGGAGGTTCATAATTTTGCATGTAAATAATTTAAACGGGTATTACTGTAGACTTGGCAGTATCCAGCCCTTCCCTCTGCTAGTGTCTTAACAAAGAACATTCCATGTATAGTTTGGAAACCCTCCTCACTGTTTAATAAAACATTGTCTGGTTTGCTGTAGTTAACACTTACTATTCTGAGGACATCCTCCCCCAAGAGCTGTGAAATCATTTCATGCCAATTTGTTTACTTTGCTTGTTTAGGGTATGCGCTTCCTAGATTTACATGTGTTGCATTTATTTTTATTCACTCTTTGACGATATCTTTGTATAAATGAGAAGATCCTTTTCTCTCAAATGATACACAACACGAGTTTTTGATTTCTGTCTTGTCACACACACACACACCCTCTTAAGTCTGTGAGTTTCCAAGCATATCCCCAGTGCACTAAATTTCCCAACAATATCAGGGCATTGGATTGCAGAGAAGACTTGACATTAGGAAATACCTGTGATGAGACACCACAGTGTAATAGAAACACGTGAACGTGTTAGGAGCGGCGACATCATCCAGCTGCTAAGTAAGGAAGTGCCCCTCGCAAGAGGGCTCCTTTTCTGCAAAGAACTGAAGTGAGGAACAGCTGGGAACATGAGCCAGAGAATGTCTGTGATTCCACTGGGTGAGTTAGGTCAACAGGCAAGCCAAGCGCTCCAGACCAGTTACAAAGTCACTCTGATTATCAGTTATCTACTTTGTAAGGAATAAAGGGCCTCTGAACGAAGGTTGTAAACTTTCTGGTGCTAACACAATGTTTGTTCTAATCAGATAAGCACCCCCATAGAGATGGCCTCATACTTAGCAATGCAGAAGTCCACGGGGACCGCATTGGTTTAACTTGTAGTACCATGTTTACCTTTACTGTGACTCCCAGAGCACTAATACAGCAGCAAACTGACTTTTCTGCGTAAAGTTTGGCCTGCCGATCTTAGAGATGACTGTTTTCAACCACTTGTCCTCAAAGGCAAGGGTAGATCATTCTTTCTAGAAACCAAATAATGTAAAACGCTCTGACTTTGAATTGTTCCGTTTTCCCATGCCGTTGAAACATGGCTAGTACATTTTAGAAGTGGGTAC